ATTAACTGTTAGCTATTACCAATAGTTCCCAAATATACTGGTGCCAGGCTGCTGCATCTGAATCACTGGGGCCCTTTGTTAATAATGCAGATGCCCAGGCCACTCTGACTCAGAAAGTGCAAAGGGGAAAAAGACTTGTCCAGGATTTCTGACTGCAGCCTAGTTTAAAGCCATTATCCTGGGCAGTATTTCTAGGAAGCACCTACATCAGGATCTTCTGGGAGATCAGAATGCAGATTTTCAGGGTCTATCCAGACCTGCTGAACTTGTGGGGCTAGAGCTCAGGAGTCTATAGCAAATTGCCCAGGTGCCAAGAGGCTTCCTGAAGCCTGAGAACCACACTGTCTGAGATGATACTCCCCTCTTTGGGCTTTCAAAATTTCTTCCATTCTGCCTACCCTTGAAAATGCCATGCTTCTGAATCTTGGCATTACTAAGAGCTCTTAGGGAATAGCTGTAGACAATTGTTTCAGTTTCATAATATGAACATGTCTTTGACTTCACAGCATCTTTTTTTAAACTAGTTACAGGTATATCCTCATAACCCACTGTGCTGGGCATCATGACCCACTGTACAGAGAAAGAAGCTGTTCTTATAGACAGAGTGATTTTCCCAAGGAATAAGAGTTAGGAGATGAAAAAGCAGGTGGAGTGCTCTGGCTTCACGGGCCAGCCATCTGTCCCCACCCCGCATGGACTCCAGCCTCATCACCATGGCCAGACCTCATTCCTGACCCAGCAAATGTCTTCCACTGCCCTGAGTTCATGAAATTCGGTCAACCAACTAGAGAATTGGTAGTTTCTGGTAAATTGAGGCAAGGGGTGGGAGAGGAATCCACACAGTAGATACAAATAAAGGAGTCATGGTGACGTCATGCATTCTCTGCACCACCCTCCTTCTTTGGTCCCATTTGCTTTAAAAAAGGTCACTTCTTCATGGGTAAAATTGTTTTTAAATGCTATATCATGCCTCTGCCTGCTGGGCTTTCCCCAAAACACATCTTGGTAATTAGGACCCATCTTTGTGAGGGGCCAGGGTAGGGGCTCTGAGAGGTCAGGTCTGCACAGATCAACAAACGGAAGGAGATCCTCTCTTGAGGATCCAACAAAGGGAGAGGATCCTCTGTGACCCAGCAGGCCTTCCCCAAGCTTCCGGGCATCACTAGCTACTGGCAGTTCTGCTCTACCAACCCCGAAGGTTTGGGCTGGGGCCGTGTCTGACCTCTGCAGTTATTTACTCTGCCAAGACTTTTCTCAAGCAATTGTCAAGAGCTGCGTTACCTACCTCACCAGCATTCCACTCACCAGCTTGAGGGGGTCTTCCACAAGCACTGAGTAATAGCTACCTTCACAATGCACAGAAAATAAAATCAGCTAATGGATAGATCGAATTTTCCCAAATTTACTTTTCTCTCCTAGACATTTTTTTAAATCTCTGGCGCCTGCTACTGCTTATAGCCTCATGCACGCTCTTGAATACTCAGAACAGATGTACACAGAGCAAACAAATATTAACAGAAAATGCAGAAACAGCCAATCACTGCCTGGCGAGGTGGCCTGTTGTAGACACATGGGCTGAGGTTGGGGGGTTTTCACCATAAACCTGTAATAGAGACTTAACTATATACAATGGAATTCAGTGCCCTTGAATTTCAAGGTGGTGTATGCCACAAAAGGGCACAATAACTCAGTGTATAGTCATGCACCAGCAATTCCTACTGAGAACTCACTGTTTATTAATCCCTGAGAAATCTACCACCAAATCAAACACATGTGCACTTTCGATGGTGGCAAGCTCTGGACTTCACTCTACACCACACCAAAGAACCTGGAGTGAAGTCCTGAGCTTGCCATATCAAGATCTCCTGGGCGTGCTCTGGTCACCCACTGTCCCAACACTGAGGCCACATGCAGAAAGGTCATTCATGGACCATGGGGGTGAAGCTGGGAAGATGCAGTGAGTTGTCCTTCCAGATCGCTGCCTCCGGGAAGGGCCAAAGTGCCTAGCCCAGGGATACTCCACTCTGAGGGAGGGGTGACTGCTGCCATCCCAACATGTCCCTACTGCTGCAGAAACACCTAGAAGACCCCAGGTATTCAGACCCTGTCCTGAAGGCCACAGGTCAAAGGGCAGCTCAGCGAATGTAGGTGGTTACCGTCCCTCCATACACCAGCAGCCCCTTTTCTACAAGCTCTCAGACCCAGCAGGAAAAGACATGGGCTTGAAGAGGCGGTCGTTTGTCTGGACCCTGAGGAAGGGGGCCTGGTTCTGCGTGCAGAAGGCCGCGTCCCAGCCCGCCCTGCTCCCCTCTGAAAATAGATTAAAAAGCCCCAGAGAGCCTTTTCCCTGCAGTGCCATCCTCTCCCCATAGAGCAGAGCCACTGGCTGGAAATGGCCAAGGGCAAACAGAGGAGGGAAGAGGTGCTCTATTTAGTGTGGATTTCCCTCACCCCAGGTTTCCCGACCCCTTTCTTCCTTCCTCCCACCCAGGCAGAGGTCTCATAAGGCCCTGCCTGCCTCTGTCCTGTGGTCGCTGCTCTCCCTTTGTCCCTGTTCTGGTCTGCCTGTGTACCTGCCTGGTCTCAGTGCCACCTGCCCTCGGGAAGGAGGCCACACTGAAATTCCACCAGAGATCCCCACAGGAAAGAAGACAGACAGACACACAAGTGGCCAAATCAGCAGGGAGAGACGCCCCCTGGCCACAGATGAGTTTGGGAGGGATCTGCTTTCTGCATGGGCAGCTCATTGATCCTTTTCTGATAATTATTCCTCACTCATCGCAAAACGAATGACGCTGGCTCCAGCCCAGCCAGGCAGGCGAGAAGGCGGCTCCGTGTGTGGAGGGTGGAAAATGAGCCTGCCTTGTTCATTCGAGGAGAGACAGGAGTGAATGGTGTGTACTATCCCTGAGCACTGAGCAGGGACCGTGGTGCTGCTTTAATATTCTGCTGAATGTGGTGTTTCTTTTAACCCTTGCTGGGGAGATTTTCAGTCCTGAGAGTCGCTTGCTTTTACCAAGCTACTGGTAAAGTTTCTTGGCTGCGTTGGACAGAAGGGCCGCAGATCTCCCAACGTGGGTCGCCCCCAGACGACCTGCGTGTACGCAGGCCTGGAAGCCGGCACAACGGTAGGCACACCCCCTCCCTCGGGCATCTTCAGCCTTGAAGACTGTGTGAGCTAGTCAAGATGGGGTACAGGGAGGAAACCGCACGCATCCAGACGCCTGGTGTGTCCCCACACATTTGCTCCCAAACAATTTCGCTTGCATTTATAGGCTCCTTCATCCATGGAGACCCAATACCGAGGCTAGGCTCCCGAAGTGGGGACCTCTCTGCTCTCCGAGGCCCCGCCCGGTACCCACCGGCGGGCGCGGAGAGCGGCGGGCAGGACGCGCGGTCCCACAGCTCAAAGTCCAGTGTGGCCTCGCCGGTTGCAAAAGATCGCTCACCCAGGTTGTCCTGACCAGTTTGCAAGCGCACGGCGCCTCGCTTGTCCTATTTCAACTGCTCCCGCACTGGACCCTCAGTAAAGTCAAACCCAACCATCTCGGCTCGGGGTGCTGACCGCGCTCCACATTGTACAGTCCCTGCGCGTTCCAAAAAGCAACCCCCTCCGCACAAAGACCAGCAGCGAGAAAGGGCACCGTAAAGCGGGGGCAGACAAAAAACCACCTTTATAAAAGCAAGCGAGAGCTTTCTAGGTATTAATCACCTCATCCCTGCGCCGCCACCAGAACGCACGCGGGATATGGTGTCTTCACTAACAAGGTGAGGACATCGGCCCCGCCTCAGAGCCCCGAATGTCCCCGCTTCCTTTGGAAAAAGGACAGCGCTATCCAGAAGGGCCCGCAGCGCTGAAAAACGGTGGGGGGTTTGTGGAGGGGAGTGTAGAAGGTGTCCTCTGAGCAACCTGTAGCAGTTTAGTGAGAACTGCGTCAGCCCGGCAGGGCGGTTCAGCGTGGACCGCGGCGCGGGCGCCAGGAGCTGCGTCCCCGTAGCGCGACCCAGGGGAGTGGGAGAGCGCTCCGGGCTGCCGCGGCGCATCACCCCCAAGAGTTGCTTCCATCCCGGCAACTCCACTCCGCTCTAGGGCCGGGTTGCAAGGACTGGGGGCGGGGAAGAGGGCGGGAGGCGGGGAGCGGGGCAGGGATTTCCCACAGGGATTCGCGGGCGCCGCGGAGCGGGGGGCTCCCCGCCGCGCCAGGCGCCGTGCCCGCGGGGTGCGCTTGCCCGGCCGCCGCCGGAGGCACAGCCAAGGCTGTAGCTGGGACAGCGTTGCTGCCCGTCGGCTCCCGGCCGCCAAGGCTCCCTTCCCGGGGCGAAGGGGTGTTTGGGCGAGTTTCAGCAGGACCGACCACCCATCCCACCCTCTTTCCCAGGCTCAGGAGCCGACAAAGGTGTCCGCCTCCCCTCCGTGGCCCGTTAAAGATGCAGCCCCCCAGGTCCCAGCACCGCCAGCGGTGCCCGAGGGTACTCAGTGAACTCAGCTCCTCTCCTTCGGCGGCCACTCGCAGGGTACCAGGGCGGAGCTGCTGCGCCCCTCGCGGGAGCCTGCTCGCCGACCCCACAGTCCTGAGCAGGTGGGGCCCGAGCTGAGGAACAGGAGCGGCGGCGCGCGGCCACCTGAACGTATCCGTGCCGGGACACGGAGTGCACAGAAGCCCGCGCCCCAGGGACCGGGGGCCGGAGGACACTTCCTCCCCAACGCCCAGCTCCGTCCGGCAGTAAGAAATTGCACCGCAATGCAGCGGGCTCCGCACTCTCCCAAGTCCAGGCTGCGGGAGACCCGGGCTGCCAGAGAGCGCCGCCAACCAGCCGCGGGCGCCGGGAGCCAGCCGGGGGCGCGCCGGTGGGTGCCGCCCCAGTCCCGCGCTCGGCAGCGGCCGGGGCTCCCCAACAGCCTCGCCTGGGGTCGCAGGCTTCGGGCTACGTGAGGCAGCAGGAGCAGCCCCGGGGATACAGCCGCCAGCCGCCAACCTGCGCCGCGGAGGGTACGTTACCTTCCATCGCGGCCACTGCGGATGCCAGAAGGAGCAGCAGCAAGCAATCCCGGGCCATCGCCGGCCGGCGGCCCCCAGGCCGATCCCGAGCCGAGGCGGCCGCGCGGGGAGGGCGCCGCGTCCCGGGGCGCCGCTGCACTCCCCGCCGGTGGTTTCTCCGTATCCTTTCGCGCTCTAGCTGGGACCGGACTCCCCCGAGCGCGGCGTGGGCGTGGGCGGGAGTGTGCGCGCGTGGGGCGGTGCGGGCGCGCGTGGGTGTGGGTGTGCATGTGTGTGTGTGTGTTTATGGGAGAGGTGGGTGTGTGCGTGCGTGTGTGTGTGTGAGAGACAGGAGGGCGAGGGAGTGCGAGCTGGGGAGAGCGCGCGAGTGCGTGTGCGTCCTGGTGTCACATTGCGAGCTACCGAGCAGCCTACGAGAGGACGGAGCCGGCCACACTGACGCGGGAGGGAGCGGGATCCCCCACCATCAACTCTCTCCCCACCCCTAACACCTCTTGTCCAATCAAGGAATCAAACCTGCAAAATTCCCCCGTCCAATCAGGCGCGAGCACCTCCTCACACTGGCATTGTTAGTTTAAGAAAAACTTTTGCTTGCAAGGCTGTGCGGGAGGGCTGAGAGGGCGCTAGGAGGGGGCCGGGCTCCCTCTCGCGGTGCTCTCGGAGAACCGCACCCGCCTGCCCAGCTCCATCACGCTCTGGAGCTAGGAGGCCTGGGTAATTACCCTTACAGCCCAACAGGACTGGGTAGGCTTTAAATAATCAAATTTGTCTTCTTTCATCTTCTCAGCGAGACTTACTTTGATTACCCTATTTAGTGCAACCCCCATTACACACCCTATCCTTCCCACCCTTGGCACTCACCTTCTAACACAGTGTGGTTTCTATTAATCAATTTTCTTTATTGTGGGTCTCCCCTTATTAGAATGGTGTCTGCATTCTTGGGATTCGTGGGTTTTTTCCACTACTGAATACCCAGTGCCTAGAACAGCACCTGGCAGATGAAGGTGATGGCATATATCCGATGAATGAATGAATGAGGCTCGGAGAATCTGTGGGCAGTGGCTGTAGTGTGTACAGGGCTCCGGATATGCTTCTTGTCCAACTCGCTGCTGCTCCTGTCCTCCAGAAGTCTCTGGCTGCCTTTATATCTCACTTTCCAGTGCATTCTGTGAGCATCCACAGAGGGCCCTGACCCCAGAAGAGGTGGGAGAGATGTACACATCTGGCTACCCAAAGCAGAGAATGCAGTACCGCAGAAGAAGAAGGCTATGCAAGCTGAGGCACAGAGGAAGTGCTCTCACTGTGGGAGGCATTGAGCAAGGGTTGGAAGGATTTGCATGGGCAGTCACAGGTGGCTAGGCACTGGAGGAAGGAGCCATTCTCCCAGGCTCAGCTCCCACAGCTCAGCTCTCTTTTCCTGATTCTGGAGATAGCCCGAGTGTTCTAGGTCAAGATGGCCTTGCAGCAATAATGTTATGCTGGAGAAGTGAGCTCCACCCCCAGCCCCTCCCACCCACCCGCTGATGGGCTGGTCTTACAGAGTCAGGGAGAACCTTTTTCCATTACCCACCTAACAGCCAGCATTAGTGGGTGCCGTTTCCCCACCATGCTTTTCCCATAGTTGTTGATGAGTTACATGTGGGCAGCTGCTGTGACCCTTTGCCTGCTCTCTGTCTTCTTGAGCTTTGCTAAATCAGTTTCCCATTCTTATGTTTGGTGTCTCCTTTGCTGGGATGGCTCCCCCTCAGTCACAGCCAGACCTGTCTCCCCATGCTGACACTGCTTGGCTTCCCCTGCTCTGCCTCAGCCTGCCTCCCTCTCCCTGCCCCTCCATCCCACCCTGCCTCAGCACCTGAAGGGAAGATCCCATTGCTGCCCTCTGCCCCAGCACACCACCAACATCTCTGGAGCTGTCACCCTGGGAGTGACTCACTCCCAGTTACCCATCATCCTCCTGGACCCTCACCAGCAGTTGACCCAGAGCTCTTGCCTCAGTTTCCAAGGTCCCCATTTTTCTCTCACCTGTCTTACCACTTCTTACTGTTCCCTCTTCAACTCTCAAAAGAGGTTCCCCCCAAGCTGTGCTCTTGCAGCTGTTCCCCAGGTCTATGGGCAACTCCTCATCACTTTACCTGCTCACCCACCTCCAGCCCTCCCCTCATGGATGGAGGGGTGAGTCTCAGACTCTTTCCTCTCCTTCGTCAGTCTTTTGAGAGGCACATTGGGCAACGTCCCCCTCTGTCACATCTTTCTCCCATTGCCCTTGTCCCGAGTCCGTGACCCATCTCAGTTCCGGCCCAGACTGCCTTCCCTGGACAAGTGGAGAGTCTCTAAGAGGTTGCCCAGCTTCTGGCCTCTCCCCACTCTAATCATTCTGCGCTCTGCTGCCAGACTAATCTTTCCCAAGCCAAACTTGATCTGCTCTCCTCCCAGCACACACACCTAGTGGCTCCTCACTGTCTGGTAAAGAGACCAACCACTCTGACATAGCATCCAGATTTCTCCACAAGCTCCCTGGAACCTGCCTTCTCAGCTCAGACTCTGCCAGCCTCCCTCTAGGCATGGGCTGCACGGCCAACTTGATCCCCTTGCTGCCCCCACACCCACCCAAGGCTCTCCTTTCCTTGCATCTAGCGAGTCATGCACTCACCCCCTTATTCCACAAATATTTGAGTAGCTACAGTGAGCCAGGCAGACTCTGCTCTAGGCTGTGGAGTAGACACGGGCCCTGACCTGAGAGCTTACAGTGTTGTGGAGAAGAATGACAACAGAGGCAATAGCATATCAGGTGGTGAAAAGGCCTGGAGAATAAAGCAAAGTAACGACTAAAGGCTGGTGGTGGGCAGCTGGCCATGGGGGGAGTGGCTTGTGTTTATTGAGCACACAAGCACTGCACTGGACATTTACATGCAAAACTGAAATGGAATGAACTCCCTGCCCTCTACTTCTAGCCAAACCCCACTTCTCCCAGTAAGCTTGGTGTCCCTGTGACCCAGTCTCATGCTACTTCTCTTTGTGTGGGTACTGAGTGGCTTTTCTAGACCTCACTGAAGACAGAACTGCCCGTTATCCAACAGCAAAACCCTCCTCCTGGAAGGACCCTGGAGAACACATGGCCAGAGAGCTCAAGGAGAGCTCTGCCAGGATCTTTCAACCTGTGCCAGGCAAATAACACAAAAATTACCAACTTAGTATCTTCTGATCCCCAGCCCCACCCCTGAGGATTTTAAGCAGTAGGGATGAGGTAGGCCCACAGTGTGATTTTATAGCCCTCAGCCCAGCTGGTTCTGCTGCACAATGGGAGTCTCTGTTCTTGGTCTAGGAGTTTAAAACTGCTCTGAGGCTTTCTCAGGGGACCTCCAGGTGGGAAAGTACAAGAGTGGCCAGGGGATGGAGCTTCAGACCTCACCCCTGTTTCAGAAGCTTTTTGTTCTTCTGGATGTCTATGTCAGGCTTTCTCTGAAGGGAGGGTTCTTAGCAAGAAGAGAAGGAGGTAGAGAAAGTAAGAGGGATCAGAGGAGTTGGGTGGGATGAGGACGGGGCGCATCAACTCAGAAGGGTATGAGGAGAACAGTATTGATGACTTGGAGAGCATGCTGATGGTTCAAGCTAGAATAGTGTCAGTTCAGGACTTCTGCTAATTTCCCTGATAACCCAGGGGATTGACTTTTCTTGAGCAAACTAAATATTAATTTAGCTGTGCAGAAGATTGATCTCTCTCTTGCAATGGGTTATGATATGTAAAATCCCTAAAAGCACCGTTGACTTGAGAATCTAAGCCTGGGTAACTATTTCCTCTAGAGCATCTCCTTGGCTATTTTTTTCCTCTCTGATGTCAAATGCTCACTTGTTTTCTTGATTAATCACCCAGCTATTTGCTATCACTAAATCATTCCTTCAAAGTGACAGATGCTTGCCTCCAAGCCAGCAGCTGAGGGCTTTCAGGCACCCAAGGGTGATTTGACCCTTTTGCTAAGGCTCAGAGGCCCACTGGCTGGAAAGTTTTGGGGTAGTCAACCAATTCACCCAACCTCTAAACAGTTTTGTGTGTAAAAGGTTGGAAAGGATTTCTAGTGAAAGCAATTACACAGCTTCCCTTGATAATTCTACACATTATGAAGCTGTCCTATTAGAAAGTTTCTGATTGCCTCTAATCTACATCCCATTTGTTATAGTTAAAGCCTGTTTTCTTCATCCTACTTAGAGGTGGAGAGTGTAGACAAATAGTAACCATCCTGAGAATGATCACATGGGCGTCTTATTCTTGAGAAAATGTTAAGTTGCTCCCTTATCCCATCTTTTTCTTTTTAAATATTACTTAACTGCATAAATGAAAGGTTTAGTTATACATTCCATGACCTTAGCTACCTTTAATTAGATTCTTAAGTGCTAATACACATTTTCATTAATTTTGGAGCAGCAGGTGGACCATTTATGAGTAATTTTAAATTTTTTAACAATGGATAATAGACACATAACAAAATACTTCTTCCCCTCTTTTGTTCTTTCAACATTTTTTGAGCAGCAATTCTGTGCCAGTTGCCTACAAGGTGCTGAGACCCAGCGATGTCTGTGACCCAGCCCATCCCTTTAGGGATCTCATGGTCTTCTGAGGAAGACAGACAATCAAATGCATTGTGGGACTTGCTATGCAAAATGGCCTCTAGCTAGAGGCTCCCAACAAGCCTCTAATTGTCTCTCCAGAAATATCCCAGCAAATACAGACAAATATGAAGACTCACACTAACAAGGTGGATGAACACTGACAGACAAACTAATTGCCAGGATGTGGAAGGAAGTGACAATACTTACTTACAAGGCAGATGAAGCTAGACGGAGAAAAACCTATCAGGTGCACATAAGACATGTGCCAAGATCTCTTCTATAAAGAGCCTGCTTTAAGGAAATATTAGGAAGATATGTTGCCATTTCCTCTCTGTCAAGATCTGACTCAGACACCAGGATCTTTACTGACCAGAGAATGGAATAAATGCCCATTACCATAGTTGCTTCAGCTTCCAACCAAACAAAAAATAGTTTCCCCTGGTCATCTCTTCCTTTCCCTTCCCCTCCCGAGTATAGGTCTTCATACACTCAGGAGGAACCTAAAAATGAGCAAGATAATTGGGCATACAGGTGGGCTGATTAAGACCCAGTACACTCTGCAGGTGAAGAATGGGCAAGAGGGTGGAACAGTCACCATAATAACTACAGGATTCAGGAGTGTAGTTTTTCCTGTGACACATCAGGTCAGAGCACCAGGGAATCAGAAAGATGCCACCTTAGAAGAGCATATAGACACTAGATGAAGCCTGTTGGCAACAGGCAGTCAGACACTGGCTGGTCCTCCAGTGTAGGCCTAAAAAGGTGATTCAAACATCAAGCAAGCAGAGAGACTGGAGAGCCCAAGACCAATCTGCTCGCCCTGCCAAGCAG